TCTCTCTCTGTCTCTCTCTCTTTCTCTCTCTCTCTGTGTGTGTGTGTGTGTGTGTGTGTGTTCATGCATGTGGATGTCTGTGGGTTACAAGCGTGTCTATGTGTGAGATTGTGAGATGCCTGTTTTGCATGAACATGATTCATCTGTCACCTCTGAGGATCTGACATCCAATCACTATGAGAACATGCATATGATAGGTTTTCCTGTCCTGCAGAGTGAAGCTGTGGGCTGACACCTTCGGCAGGAACCTGTACAACACAGTGACCAGATACTCAGGCTCTCTCTTGCTGCAGAAGGTCAGTGACCTCTCCCAGGGAGCTCCAGCATGGTCAGAGGGCCTTTTCCCACGGAGGGATAGAACTCCCAACATCAGAGCTGTAAAGGGCCCCATAGACCATCACTGTCAATCTTCTCATACTCAGATGGGGCCACAGGAGGTTCCACTCCTAGGTCAAACCAGTGTGGACAGTGAGATTAAGAACATTGTGTCAGTTCAGATCTTGGGAAGCCAAGGACAAGATTAGACCTGCAAGGGGTTTATTGGGTGAGTAGTTGAGGCTTGATGTGGATGTCTGGGAAGGAGCCAGAGAGAAGATCAGAGTATGGAGGTGGGGACAGAAGGGACAGCAGGCAGTCTAGGTATGCCAGCTACAAGCATCAGGTGTCAATTTCCTGCTTCAGGGAGAGAGGTTCCAGTGAACCCCAGAACCTGGCTGTGCCCAGGGCTGCTACATCCCATGCACCCTGGCAAGCTGAGCCCATGCCTGGTTCCCAGAAGAAGTGGACCTGGCAGAAGGGCAACCCTGCTGCCTTTTTAATTAAGTGTCCAAGTGCAGATCCATGCCTGACTGCTCAGCCATCTCACGAGCTGGTGTCTTTTTCTGTGACTTGACTCCCTGGATATGTTCAAGGGGCTTGCCTTCCATTAGTACCATAACCTAAGAAATGATGGCTTTAATTCAAGTTACCACAACCCAAGAGGCATCTTCTCATATTGCAAATGATGGGATTCTCTGCTTTTATGCGGGCCATGAGCACACTGCCCCCTCTCTCATCCATTTTGTGCTGAAGAAAGTGGGAGGGTCCAGGGTGGACCCTAGGGGCTCTCCCAGGCTTAAGACGCCAAGAGCCATCACAGCACCCATTTCTGTTGTGAGCAGCAGCTTGTTTGATTTTCCTGTTTGAAACCTGCAGTCCCAGGTAGGAAGACAAGGGATCGTGGAAGTGTTCTCCAGAGTCTATGTAGTCTACAGCACTGTCAAAAGCTGTAGCTGCATCATATCTTACAGAGGAGGAATCTGAGTTCCTTGCCTAAGATCACAGGGACAGCAGATTACAGGGCTGGTCAGGAGTCATTGGTGACTCGTTGAGGATTGTCCCTGGGCAGACAGGAGTTTGAAGCCACTTCCTAGGCTCCACCAGACTCACCAGCATGGCTCCTGGAACTGCTGCTCTGGGTCCCTCAATAGGATGCAGGCCCAAGATGGGATGTGTTGCTCTTGAGAACTGGGCAAAGGTGACCTGACACTGCGGCTGCTTCTCAGTCTCTGTCATAGTAGGTGTCAGGGAAGTTGTGGACCACAAAGAGTAAGGACAGGGACTACTGGTACTCTGTCTACCCCAGTGTCCAAGGTGCCTGGCTCACTGGCTGTGACTGGTGTCAAGTTTAATTGCTGTCCAAGTGTCCATCAGCTCCCATAGAGGATAAAAACTTCCATGTGTCTGGAGTCCTGAACAGAGAACATTTGAAGACAGGCAGCTTAACACTAAGATTAAGAAGTCACGGGGTGGCTACTGTAGGGGAGCTGGTAAGGGACAAGAATGGTCCTGGTGCACTCAGGTATACTTCTTACCACTTTGCCCTGCCCAGAAGTACAAAGACGCAGAATCCAGTCTGAAGATCCAGGAGGTGGATGGCTTGGAGCTGGTGAAGAAGTTCTCAGAGGACATGGAGACCATGCTTAGGAGAAAAGTCGAGGCTGTTAAGGTACCCCTGCCCATCCCCCAACACCGGCCTAGTGGACCCTTGCAGGGACTCCACTGATTGTAGCTGATCCTCTCTTGGCTGGATGGAGTGCAGAGTGGTTATACTAACCAGTCTAACTACAGGCATGTCATACAAGGAAGGGGACACTGGTGCCCAGCAAGGCTTTGTAGATGTTCAGGGATGAGGTCACCTGAGCACCTCAGAGGAACCATGGAGGGTGGGACCTTGTGGCTGAAAAGGCAAGAGAAGAAAGCAGAGGGTTGAAGAAGGAGGAGAATGGCAGAGAGCTAGGGCTGGGGTGGCAGAGGAGAACTGGTGTAACTCTCCCTTCCCTTCATGCTCCCTCCCTCAGAACCTGGTGGAGGCCGCTGAGGAGGCTGACCTGAATCATGAGTTCAATGCATCTCTGGTGGTGAGTCCTCTTGGGAGTGGATGCAAGGCTGCCTGGCTCTGCCCCACCCCCATGGCAGCTGGAGGGCCAGCTGTGACGGGAGCTGAGAGGCAGCCACTCATCCCATGTCCCAGTGCCAATCTGTGCCCTGGCTTTGTCAGTGAGGTCTTCTCTCCACTTCCTGAGGCTCTCAGAGAAGGTATAGAACAAGCATGTGTGGTGGGCCATCGAGCACTAGGAAGCAGTCTGCTGTCTCTAACTTGTGACTTCCCCACACACACTAAGCCAACTGGAGAATCAAAGCAATGATTGGGCCAATTTGACCCCACCCAGCCAGTGAGCTCTCAGATCCAACTATCTTGATGTGTGTTGTGACCTCATTGCCCCATCTTTGCCTGAATTTTCCACCAAGCCCCGCATAACTGGGCTCCACCAACCCTTTCCACCCAGCCTGGCCTTATGTTCGGTTCCTCTAGCCCTTGTTACTCCCCTCCCTCTCTTCCGCTTTCCTTCTCTCTCTAACTCCCTCTTCTTCCGTGTGACTGGGCTGTCTCTTCTGGACCTGTTCCCCTCTTTTCCCAGTTTAACTACTACAACTCGGTACTAATCAATGAGAAGGACGAGAAGGGCAACTATGTGGAGCTGGGAGCCGAGTTTCTTCTGGAATCGGATGCACACTTCAGCAACCAGAGGGTGAATGTCTCCATGAGCAGTGTGCAGCTGCCTACCAACGTGTACAACAAAGGTGATGTGCCCTCACCATTGGGTTGTCTAGGGGACAGGATGAGGATCCTGGAGGGTTTTAAATATTTTGTGTCCGTTTTTCCAAGAATCCCTACAGGGCATTGGCTCTCTCTCCAACCTCCTTGATAGGATGAGAAAAGAAAGTATTCCATACGTGCATGGAGTATTCTGTTTTCTGTTGCTATGACAAAATGCCCGTAGCTGAATAACATAGGTGAAGTTTCCCTAGCTCAAGGTCTGGGAAGCTGAGTCCAGCCAGCACTGCACTGCTTTGGTGGGGTCTCTGGCTGCGTCCCACTGTAGCAGAGGGTGTCGTGCTGGGGGTCTGTGCAAGGGGGCACAGCCATGCAGGGAAGGAGGAAGCTAGAGAGTGGGAAAGCCAATCTCTCTCTTCCATAGCAACCCTTTCAAGACACCTCAGCAGAGTCCATAGAATTTTTAATAACCCTGCCCTAGGGCAGCACCCACCATGGTTCAGTCACTTCCCCCTATACTCCATCCTTTCTCATTGGACTGTACGGAGCACCGCACACCCAAACACAAACCCTGGGAACACACCCACATACTACATCCAAACCTCAGCCATGGGCTGGGAGAGGTGATGCTTCTGGGTTAGTGTCCATGGGCTGCATTTGAGCCTGACGCAACCCTAAGGGGAGCAGGAGGAACTTACCCACATCTACATGTGTAGCCTGAGTCACCAGCATCTAATGTCACCCTCCCCCCTGAAGTTCCTTCCGTGATCTCACTTTCAGACCCAGACATTTTAAATGGAGTCTATATGTCCGAGGCCCTGAACCCTGTGTTTGTGGAGAACTTCCAGAGAGACCCTACACTGACCTGGCAGTATTTTGGCAGTTCAACTGGGTTCTTCAGGATCTATCCAGGTGAGGACATTGGGCAGCAGCTCTGTCACCTCTCTTCTCTAAGAATAAAGTATGAAGACATGCCCTAGCATTCAAGGGCCCTCATAGCCAAGGCATTTTCCACCCACACTTGGTCTTCTTAAAGCCTACTGTGACACAGTCAGTAGGAGCTGCTGGGTGAATGCCTGAGTAACTTCACTAAGCATCACAGTAATTGTCACCAACACTGAGTGAGCACCTGTCCTGAAAGTCTGTGGACAATGCCAGGGAGGATCCTGAAATCCCTCACCTTAAGGGATCTCCTGAGCTGGAGAGCAGAGTGCACTGTCCTCATACAGAATGGGGAGAGTTCTCTCAGTCACGCAGAAACAGAAAGGGGGTGAGGAACAGTAAAGGGTTTGCCACACAAGCATGAGGACCTGAGTTCAGATCCCCAAAACCCATGTGAAAAACTGAGCATGGTGCACACCTGTAATCCCAGCACTGCAGGGGTAGAGATGGGGACCCTGGGAAATCACTAGGCACCCACTCTGGTGGAACTGGTGAGCTCTGCAGATTCAAATAATAATGTCTCAGATAATAAGTGGGGGGGAGGGTGCAACAAGAAGACACTGTTGGTCTTTTGCCTCTACAAGTGCACACACTCCTATACACATATGTACACAGCTCTCTCTCTCTTTCTCTCTCTCTCTCTCTCTCTCTCTCTCTCTCTCACACACACACACACACACACATACCACATACCTCAAAAAAATGAATAGAAAAAAAAAAAAACACCAGCCAGTTTTTTTGTTTGTTTGTTTTTATTTTTTGTTTTGTTTTGGGTCTTTTCTGGTTTCTTGCCTCTTAGAAAACTTCACCTTCACATCTCATGTTTCTATGTCCAGAATGACTTTCAGGGTCCCGTTTTCTGGGAAGACACTGGAATGATAAAAAATGGTCCTCTCTCTGTCTCCAGACTGGGAAGTCAACTCCTCTCATGGGGTGCAAAGAACAGGTGTGACTCCCATCACTAGCGTAATCCCTGCAGTCTTTGACATATACATGCCCAATTAGCTGTGGGTGTCTCCTTCAGTGCCTGGGTCCCTTAGTCCTCCCTGATACAGAGGCCCTAATGAGCTAGTTCATCTTGTCCTCAGAGTAGAATTCCTGTGAAGAGTTTTCTGGGTCCATTTTTAATGGATTTTTTTGTTCTTCTTGTTGAGCCTCAGGAGTTCTCCGGATATTCTGAGTATTAATTGCCTGTTGGCTTAATGATTTATAAATATTTCCTCCCATTTTGTGGGCTGCCTTTTTAATTTGTTGATGTTGTATTGTAGTCTTTTAATGGATAACATTTAAATTAGCCCACCTTTCTTTCTTCCATCTATGCCTTTGGTGTTATGGCCAAGAAATCGTTGCCAACTCCAATGTCATAGGAATTTTCCACTGTGCTCTAGTAAGAATTTTGCAGTTGTGAGTCGTATGCTTAAGCTTTTGCTCATTTTGAGTTACTTTAGTATACTGTGTTAGTAAGGCTTCAACTTCTTTCTCTCATGTATGGCTACCCACTTTTCTCAACACTGCTTGTTTACAGACTGCCGTTTGCTCTCCAATACACTTGGCATGCCTGTCGGCAGTGATTTGATCATGATATGAGTTTTTTTTTTCCCCAGTGTCTCTCATCTAGTCATGGGCCCCTGTGTCCATATGCATGTCAAAACCACACTATTTTCATCACCATAGCTTTGCAGTAAGTGTTAGAATCAGAAGATGTGACTCATTAGAGGGTCACTCACTTTTGCATCATGACAAAACATCCATCCAGACAGCTTATGGGAAGAAAGGTGTATTTTCCATGGCTTCAGAGGGTCTCAGTCCACTAAGGAAGGAAGATACAGCAGTGGCCAAGGCCCCTCACCTTCCAGAAGACCAATGGCAGAAAAAGCATCAGAACTGGAGGCCAGACTATATGACTTTATCTTTATGACTGTGTGCCTGCACAGATGCATGTGCACCGCATGGGTGCAGTGCCCATGGAGGCCAGAAGAGGGCATTGGATTTCTTGGAACTAGAGTTAACAGATGATGGTGGGTGCCAGGAACTGAACTCGGTCTTTTGTAACCACTCTTAACCACTGAGCCATTTCTTCAGACCTCCAAAAGTTTATAGTTTTTAATTATGCAAAGTTGTTATGGAATACTTAACTGTGTAAAGGTGTGTTACATTTGTTTAATGATGTAAGGATGTGTGAACAATTATGAAAAGATGTGTTGCCTGCCTAAGTCATCTGATTGGTCTAATAAAAAGCTGAATAGCCAATAGCTAGGCAGGAGAAGGATAGCTGGTGGGCAGAGAGGGAGGAGAATCTGAGGCTCGAAAAAGAACGAGAGGATAAGGGCCATCAGGTCCTGGGCAAGAAGCCAGTCAGCCAAACACGAGAAGCAGTGAAAATAAGATATACAGAAGGAGGGGGCTGGAGAGATGGCTCAGAGATTAAGAGCACAGGCTGCTCTTCCAGAGGTCCTGAGTTCAATTCCCAGCAACCACATCATCCATCCGTTATGAGATCTGGTGCCCTCTTCTGGTATGCAGATAGATATACATGGAAGTGATTGTTGTATACATAATAAATAAAATCTTTGAAAAAATTTTTAAAAGATATATAGAAGGAAAGAAAAGTAAAAAGCCCCATGGCAAATGGTAGGTAAAGAGAAACAGGTTAATTTTATGTTAAAAGAGCTAGCCAGAAATGAACCTAAACTAGGCCGAGCATTCATAACTAATTAAGAAGTCTCCATATCATGATTTGGGACATTGGTGACCTCAAAGAAAAAGCCTGGTACACAACATCTTTTGTGATGTTATTGAAAATTGAATCATTTTGGTAACCTTCTCTTCAGTTTGTTCATAGCAACTGATTTTGCCTGCTATGTTGCTGAATTTGTTTATGAGGCCTAACACCTGCTTTATGGGGCTTCCCACAAATCAGTGTGAGCATTGACATCTCCCTTCTTCCCTTCACCTTTGCCTTTTTTTCTTTTTTCCAGCCTAATTGCTCTGACTAGAACTACTAGTGCTGGTTTAAATGCAGCAAGTTTAAAATGACTCTGTTCTATGACTACTAAGAGCAAGTGCCTTCAACCTTATGCTGTGGATTTTTCCATTTGTGGCTTTTGTTATTTTGGAGTGGATTTCATCTGTTCCTAGTTTGTAGAATCTTTTTGTTATGAAAGTGAGTTGGATTTTTTGAACTTTGTTTTCTGCCTCATTTGGAGTCATCATGCTGGTTTTTGCTCTTTCTGTTGGGGTGATGTTTTATGTTGGTCAGTTTTCATGGGTCGGAAATCCTTACATTCTAGGAATAATGTATTGCCCTTTTAATTTGCTACTAGACTTACTTTGCTGGGCTTTGTTGAGGAATTATGCATCAATGTTCTTTGGGGAATATTATGTTTTCTTGTAGCGTCCTCCTGCAGCATCAGGGTAATGCCAGCCTCACGGACTAAGTTAAGAAGTAGTGTCTCCTCTTCAATTTTTCAGAAAATTTTGAGGATTTGTATGAAGTTTTTATGTGTTTGGTACTGTTCATCTGGAAGCCATTGGGATCTGGACTTCACTTTGTTGGGAGAGTTTTTTTATTAATTTATTTTTACATTCCAATCCCAGTTCCCGCTCCCTCCTCTCCTCCCACTCCCCCCCTTATCTGTTCCTCAGAGAGGGTAAGGCCTCTCCTAGGAAGTTTACTAAGTCTATCTCACCATCTTGTTGGGAGATTTTTTATATTTATTTTTTTATTAGTTCAAATTAGGAACAAGCTTGCTTCAAATATCAATCCCTTCTCCCTCTCCCTCTGCTCCCCCCAGCCCTCCACCAGTCCCCCACCTTATCCTCCCCCTCCATTCCCCAGCGAGGGTAGGGCCCTCCACGTGGGCTCCCCAAAGTCCACCACGTCACCTTAGGCCAGGCCTGGACCCTCTCCCATGTGTCTAGGCCGAGAGAGCATCCTTCATGTGGGATGGGCTCTCAAAGTCCCTTCTTACACCAGGGAAAAATACTGCTTCACTACCAGACAGCCCATAGAGTGCCAAGGCCTGCTCATTGACATCCATGTTCAGGGGTCTGGATCATTCCTGTGCTGGCCACCCAGACAGGAGCCTGGGGTCCATGTGCTCCCCCTTGTTCAAGTTAGCTGTTTCTGTGGGATTCACAGGCAATTTGACTTCTTTCCTTCCTAATTCTATCCCTTTTATGCCTTGCTCCTGTCTGATTGCTATAGATAACACCTAAAGCACTATATTGAATAAGAGAGAGGAGAGAGGGCATCCTTGCTTCATTCCTGATTTTAGAGGAAATGCTCTCTCTTTGTATCTGTTTAATATGTTGGTATAGGTTTGTTTTAATCACCTTTATTTTTTGGAGGTCTGTTTCATCTACTCCCTATGTCTCCAGGACTTTCATTTTGAGGACATGTTGAGCTTTGTCAAATGCCTTTGTGGTATCAATTGAGATGATTTTATGGGGTTTGCCCTTAATTTTGTTTATATAGTATATTATATTTACTGATTTACATGTGTTAAGATAGTCTGGCATCATTTGGGCATGATGTATGATCTTCTTTATGTGTGCCTGAATTTGGTTTCCAAGTATGTTGTTAAGAATTTTTTAGCTGGGCCTGATGGGGCATGCCTTTAATCCTCGCACTTAGGAGGCAGAGGCAGGAGGATTGTAACGGTAACTTTCCACCAGCTGCCTGAGTTCCGCCGCAACATTAGGGACCCCAAATAACACAGAGAGACTTATATTAGGTACAATGCTGCTGGCCAATGACTAGGATTTCTTATTTGCTAGCTCTGTCTTAAGCATCAACCATAACTATAAATCTATATTTTTATAAGGACTTATCTCTCTTCCCAGGATCACATGGAATGCTCCTCTTTACTACATTTCCCAGAATCCTCCTCAACTCCTAGTCCTGCCTAACTTGCTTCCCTATTGGCCAATAGTGCTTTACTTATCAACCAATAAGACAAACATATACA